CAGTTTCCAGAACTCATCATATTTAAAACTAAAAGATTAGAAGATATGTCTAAAATAAATATTTCAAATCCCTCATTTAAAAAAAAATCTTTGATGTGCATATTTTCACTTTTTATTCATTTTTATGTGTTAAAACTGTATAGTATTTTTAAAAATAGAAAAAGGGACCACTTGGGTTATCACAGCAAGTATCATTTCTCATTAACCATATAATTATACTTAATATAATTTATTGTTCATTCATTGCATGCATGCCAAGGATCTTAAAAGTGAATCCATGAAGTATCTGATTCTCTTTTATCTTCCTTACACTAGAGCAAAAAACTAGTTCATAGATTTCAGAAGTTACATATTGAGAGTAGTTCTAAACACAACCTCTAAGGTAAGTGAGCATTTAGGGCACTGTCTATGTAGAAATGGAAATCTGGAAGTTGAAATAAGATCCTTCCCCAAATAGCTTTCATGATATGTGAGCTCAATTTTACTTTAGAAATCACACATTCAGTATCTCCTATAAGATTTTTCTTAAAAAACAAAATTAATCATTTTATATCTTAAATGTCAAGTATGTTCAACAGTAATCTGGAAGCAACAACGAAAAAAAGTCATTAGAGCTTTTTAAATAAACCTACTTGTTCTCATGACCAATGAGCTGTTAGAAATAGAATGAAACGATTAGGGCTGTTTGTGTATGCAAGTGCATGATTTAACTTTTGAAAATCCATGGGATGCTCCATTCCTATATGCATTGAATTTATCAAGAATTATAAGCAGACTAGAAATTGCTTCTCAGAGTGATTATACCTGTTCTCTAATATCACTTACTTTTTTTACAGTAATATTTAGGCCACAAAAGTTGAGGTAGACAGTTCATTTCATTTCTCTCTTAGAAATAGCATTATTAAACAATTTGTGATGTTTTGCTCATATCATATATATTGGCCTGTCATGAAGAAATAAACCTCCACTTGCCTTCATGACAATAGATAATAAATTGACTGATATAATTCACTTGAGAAGTTGAAAAATGCTTTGAAAATAATGGAGCATAGCATTGTAGGGTTAACATTTATTCATAGATGATGCAATTAAATAAAACAGGCATTAACTTCAAGGTCAGTCGGTAAAGTAATAAAATTGAATATTTTAATTGAATTGTAATTGCTTCCCATTGATACATGCAAGTAAAGTAAAATAGATGTCAGCTCTACAAATTATGGTTCTTCCTCTTAATTAATTTCTTAATTCTGCATGGCATTATCCAGTGCCTAGGTCTTGTTGTGGGTTTATTCATCCACCCAGCTTCCATTAAGGAATGTCCATAAGATGTGATTAAATGGTTAGATGTCAAAATTTACAGTATATTTTTCATGCACTTTGAAGAAAATGTGTGTTAGTAAGTAATAAGGTAACTTAGTTATGTAACTGAGATAAAATTGAAAATATAACATCTTACTGGCTCTATGGATTGTAATCAACTTTTGTATTAAAGTTGATATTTCTTGATCTCGCTGTTTGTATCACCATTAATACATGTAACCATCTCAATTATTATATTATTAAGGTCCATGGGGGAAATAGACATACTGAGATTCATATTCCATAGCTGACTGACTCAGAGATAAATTGAGCACATTGTGAAGGTTTTAGTGAAGCACAGTTTATGTCCATTCATGACCCCGCTTCTCTACAAAAGAGACACCAAAATTGAATGAACCCAAAAATAAAATCTTTTCTCAAAGACTTGGATAAATTGAAGTTTTTAGATAGATAAAGTTGAATTGCATAGGAAAAAGCCTATGAGCCACTTACTTTTTTATAGGCTTTTCACAGTCCCTCAAAGTATTAAATGTAATGTAGTTTATATAAAATAAAATGGAAATCATGACATTACAAAGATTAGAAGAGAGATTTTCAAATTAGAATGAATGTATAAGATGAATTTAAAAATTACTGAAGTATTGTTCCATATATATACATATATATATATATATATATATATATTTATCCTTAAAATTTAAAATGATTCCATGTAATAGAATTATTTGAGAGCAAATACACTGGTATACTAATATTCTTTAGTGGTGTTTTTAAATATAAGTGGATGTTTGTTGATAAAACAAGTAAACTGAGAAGTTATTTATGTTCTCTAAACTTTGTGTTAAATTTTAACTTAGACATTGTCTTCATTATTTAAAGGATTTAGAGAAACCATTTAAAGCATAAATATATATAAGTTCAATGATAAAATATTTTTACTGATGCTAATATTACCCTGACCTTCATTCTCAATTATGTGGGATTTTGTGTATCAGAAACGCCATACATACCATCCAGTTAGAAAATACCAAAACAAAAATACATGAAGTAAAATACTAACATCTTTGAACTTTATAATTATAGATAAGTTAGCAATTTTTCATATTAATGAAAAATTAATATAAAATGGGAATCATGACATTACAAAGATTACTTATATTTCAAAACACCACTAAAGAATGTTAGTATATCAATATATTTGCTCTCAAATAATTCTATTACATGGAATCATTTTAAATTTTAAGGATAAATATATATATTTACATATATATGGAACAATACTTCAGTAATTTTGTTCTGTTTCTCCAGATCGTTGTTTTAAAATTATTTTGTCTTATTCCATTTAAAGAAATTAGTAAATATTATAAATATAACATTATAAGATACAATACTATTTCTAAATGAGGAAACCTGTGAAAAATATGTAGAAGTGTAAGAAAATTAAATATGCAATCATTATATTTATAAAAAATAAGTTTCAAAGTTTTCATTTGCATGTACTTTAATATTTATGGAACCATTAATGTTCTTTTTAAACAGTAAAGAATTTCTTGAGAATAGTTCCATACATGAATATATTCTGGAATAGGATGAATAATCTTTCTACTGTATTCCTGACTAGTTTCATTCTGTGTATAATAGTCTCAACCAATTTAGAAGAAATCTCAGAAATCAGGATGCTTTCAAGCCATTGATTTCTCAAGGTTTAGCTGAATTGCTAGGGATCTCTGGACCTTATCCAAGAAAATATAAAAACAATATGAAACACAAGTCACGTGCATGGTAATCATGAGGTAACAGTGACTTGTCCATTTCTAATGAACAGAAAAATAAAGCAAACCTTGAGTAAGCAGTAAGCCATCAGGAAAAGAACTCAAGTACAGTAAAACATGTTAGCATAACACAAGTATGTATCCTACAATGTCCATTTAAAGTAAAAAGGTCTATTCTGAAGAATAGCAGACTATTGAACCTACACAAGTATTTTCATTATTAAAACAGACATTTTGGGATAAAAAAATTATATAGTCTATTTAACAGGTACCATAAGAACACCTCAATCACTACCCATGTTGAAGAAACTCACCAAATCAACAGCATAACCTCCAATGAATTTATAACATCAAATTTGTTTGTTTCCCAGGTTATGCTATGTCTTTGGCCTAGTGAAATCATCTGTTGTTTAAAGATTTATTTATTTATGTCTACAGAACTGGGGTACAAGCCAGAGGTGCAGGGGGTGAGAGACCTCACCAGAGACAGAGTACAGAGAGGAACAGGCAGATTGACTGGAATGGCTGAGGGGAGCAGTGGGTGGGTCAGGAGAGGTCTGCTGTGCCATGTGAGTCAGCTCCCTGGCCAGGGATCAAACTCACATTGCAGTGGCTGCGATAGCTTCACTGTGCTGTGCTCTAACCTATTGGGCCACCAGGGAGGGCCCTCATCTGTCTTCTATTTGTGAAATGTTGTTACTGATTGGCCTGTCCTATATGAAATGTCTAAACATTAGATCCGGAATTATAGCAGCATCTACCACCCTCACTAAATATGACTTTGGTCCCTTTACCAAGCTATGAAAGCTCACCCATATCAGTATTTTGGCAAGAAAAGAATGCAGCTATGCTATTTTAAGTATGTTATAAATTCGCAATAGCCTCTTGATGTTCTCAAATGATCTATGATATGTTTCAGGAAAATATTTGAAAAACTTCCTTAAAGTTTAAAAGTTTTGGGCCCTCCCTGGTGGCAGAGCGGGTTAAAGCACAGCAATAAGAAGCTAACGCCACTTCAGCATGAGTTCGATCCCCACCATGGAGGTGACCCACATGGTGTGGCAGACCTCTCCTGACCCGCCCGCTGCTCCTCTCAGCTATGTATTTCGTCATTCGGCCTGTTCTGCTCCCCACTCTGTCTCTGGAGAATTCTCTCACTGCCCCTGCATCTCTGGCCTGTACACAGTTCTGTATGCACAAATAAATATCTTCCAAAAAAAATTTAAAGTTGACTTAGTTGTTTTAATTCCACAAAACTTGTCAATCCATATCCCATCACCTATATAAACTTCACTGTTTTATTAGTTTGACATCTTTATCAAAGATATGACATGCTATTGGTACAATAGTGGCTATTCAGAGTTGTCTCTAAACATGTCATAAAAGTGACCATCAAGACAAAATAATATTTTCTAATATAATTATTTGTTCCCATATGCTACTATTAATTAATATGTAGGCCTGACAATCTACTTTCTATTTTCCATTCTTACTCTCTAAGTAAAAAAATTGGAAGCTTAACTATATAGTAAATGAATAAATTAGAAAAAATTCCGTGTTGTTCTTGAGTAAAAACAAGATCATAATAATTTTAAAAACCCAAGTGTTGAAATTTCATATCTTTGAAATGATATTTGTTTTCTATTCTAATTACAATTTCCCAAAAAGGAAAAAGAAATGGAAACCATACATCTGGTACTTGGTACAATGCAATTGAGATGAACTGGAATGAAACATATATCAAGAACAAGGGAAATAGGAAAATAAATACTAGCAAAATACATTTAATTTTAGGATCAAAGCAATTTAAAATATGCATGCATTGGTTTCCTAGGTGAGGAGGGAGGTGACTGGATCTTTAAACTTCAAATCTTATAGTTCTCTCTAAAATTTAACCCTTTTTGGCAGGTTTAGATCCAGATAAACATCTTGGAAAAACGCTGGATCAAATGGAGCCATATCTCTTAGAGGTAAGAATTTATTCTATTGCTTAAATTATAGGCATTTAAGAGAGGGGGAATAAACAGTGCTATGATATGATTAAGAAGTCAATTTTAATGTAGAAAACTTAAATACATTCATGACTTATTTTTAAGAAAAAAAATTAAACTTGTAATGGATATAAAGATGTCTAAAATTGTGAAAATCACTACCAGCTTGTTGACCTAAATAAAAGAGTAAGCTGGGCCCTCCCTATGGTGCAGCGGGTTAGGACACAGTACTGCAAGCTGGCCACAGCCGCCCTAGAGGTGACCCACAAGGTGCAGCGGACCTTTCCTGACCCGTGCGCTGCTCCCCTCAGCAGTGTCCTTCTCAATCTGCCTGTTCTGCACCCTACTCTGTCTCTAGTGAAACCTTTCACCACCCCTGCACCTCTGGCTTGTACCCCAATTCTGTATGAATAAATAAATAAATCTTAAGGAAAATGAAAAAATAAGAGAGTAAGCTATACTAAAAGAAAATTTGTTCAGTCAAAAAGATTCCTTTTATTAAGATGGTCATAATACTATATAAAATGTACTGTGTTCCTAAAGTGTCTGACAGTCTCCATGATCCATTGTTTTTCCATCAGAAACATGAGTGAAAACTTCCTTTACAGATAATCTAATCTATGCTCCTTTACCAATTAAAAAGTGAATTTTCAGAGTAGTACAGAAATCAACTCAAAATTTCAAATTTCAACTAACGTATAATTGTTAAATCCTAGATGTGTTATCAATACTGAAGAAAGATTCTGTCATTTTTCACTCTTGTGTCTTAACTGTATGGCACTGTCCTAGAGTTTGGTGGCAAGTTTAATGACGAGTAAGGCAGAGTTCCATGAACTAGACTGGTGTTATTTCTACAATGGTGATGGAAAAAAATATGAGGCAACTTCTACAAGTCGAGAACTTGACTCCTCTAGTACAATGTCATTTTCCCATCTGTGCTGTTTCTTTTTTCTTTCTTTTTTTTTTAAGATTTACTTATTTATTTATTCATACAGAACTGGGTACAGTCCAGAAATGAGGAGGGTGAGAGGATTCAACAGAGACAGAGTGGGGAGCAGAACAGGCAGATCAATGAAGTACACTGCTGAGGGGAGCAGCGGGC